TGTGCTTTTGAGCGAAAGGTTACCCTAAACTCAATGCATTGTATGCTTTCTAGAATTCCAAATGCCCTCAGACTATATTAAGACTGGGTTTAGTAGACAAGAGCTAAATGACTGACCATGAATCTAGTTGTTCCTATTGATCTGAAGAAAGTGAAACAATGCAAAATTTGACTTATCTGGTAATAATCTCCTTCCATATAGTCATTACTCATTTGGTCCTCAAACCATATCTTATACAGATAGCATAAATGATGCCCAGAATATACTTGTTGTTAGAAAAAATAAGAGAAGAGAAATAATAGAAAAATTTTTTGGCTTTGAGGTATGAAGAATATTTTCTTAAAAGCAATTATATTTTTAAGATACAATAAAGCATCAAGCTCTCCAATTAGAAATAATGAAAATGATTATATTGAAATATTTATTTATAATGAATGAACGGACATAAATTTCTATTCAAATAGTTATGACCTTTTGTATAATCATGACCTTTATGAATAATAATCTATTTATATTCAAATAGTTATGACATTTTGTCTTATGATAATTGTTTCTATTCAAACATAATTATTTAAATTATGAATAAAATTAATACAAAAATTAACTTTACTCATCAATATTTACACTTTTTATTCAATGTGAGATACACCACATTCTAAACTATTAACAATCCCCTACAAGTTTAGAATATTGGTGCTTAATTTTTAACCTTTCACACAAATAAATGTTAAGAATATAAGAAGGTATCTTTCAATTTAAACCTTTAAGTAGTATATATATCTTATAATTTTAACAAAGTTAATGGTGTTTGTAAATTAAACCTCAACTCTTAATGTTAAAATTAAAGATATAACACACATTATATTTATTTATTCTTCTATAAGAGGTTTATAACCGCTTTTAGCACTATTATAGCCATATGTTTATCCTATTCATAAACATTTATAAGAAAGATCCAAATTTTTCTTGTTGAAATGGCACCACTTCTATGTTTGTATAGTTAGAGTTTCCTTTATGTCTCCATTACTTTAGACATTTAAAATTCTAATAAGAGTATAAAAACTCATTCTTCTCACGTAATAGATTCACTAGTTTCTAAAATTTGAATGGATTTTACTAGTGCTTAATAGATATATAACAATAATTTGTTTTTACCTATTAAATTTTGTAATTAAAGGTTACTAATTCAAAGTTGAGTTCCCATTATTGGTGTCTAATAGTAAGAGTTTAAATCCATTCTACTTGTAGTACTATTAACCAAATATCTTGAAATTTAATTTTTTTATGATAATTACCCCCACTTGAGATTGAATCTCTAATATAATAACTTTAAGCTAATATGTCCAAATTTTTCATTTTGCATATCATTTATATGCTTTACACATTATTGCCTCATTCTTATTATTTTAAGAAATAGCTGGCTTTGGTTGTGGCTATAACTCTATACTCATAAATTTCAACTATTCTATTTTCATACTTTTATACATCTTTAATACAATTATACTTTTAGTACAATTGGATAAACTCAATAAATAAATCAAACCATTTTAGTCATTTTAAGATTTTTAATAACATTTTTATGACTTTACTTTAGTAAGTGTCTAAACTTATTAACTTGTATAATTTGCTTATAAAATTATACTAGAATCTTACAACACTATAGTGATAATTTTTATTTCTTTTGATTCTTATTACCCCCATCATATGCAAGTATGCATTCTTTTATTAAAGATTGTCTCGTTCAATTATCAAAATATCATATATATTTAATCAAGTTGCCATTTCATTTATTTTTTCATTATTTGGTTTTTTTTAGTAAGAGGCCTCCAAATTCATCTTTAGTGAAAGATAACTAGCAAATATTCTATACCTTAATATTTCTTTTTCATAAAAGTTTCAAAACTTTTATATTTTAACGCAATATAAGCATTTACATTAATAAGTAGATTTCAAATATAATCATATTTTTATAGTCTCCTTTTAAGATTTTTTATGTCAATTCATAAATACTTATATGAATCTATTTCATCATGGGTACTACTAATAATTCTTTTTACCATGTACAAAATCATTTCCATCACCCAAATGGATCAAATAACATTCTTTCTATTATTATAAAAGTTTTCATATTCACAAGATCTTTAAATCACTTATGGCCTCCAAAGTAATATACTTTAAAATTTTCACTATATTTTAAAACTTTTAATAAAATCATAAATGATAAATCATTGTACAATCCATGAATTAGATCATATATATAACAAAAAATTACCACAACGTGATCAAGATTATGGCATCAATTTTGGCTTATGGCTATTCTAAGCCAACTATAATAATCCATATTATACCTACAAATTATATAGATTTGGCTATTAAAGTTATCTCATTTACAGTAATGGCTTTTAATGAAAACTATCTCAAATGTTATCAGGAGTTTCCAAGGCATATATTAATTGGCCAATGGCCAATTCCAAGTTCATGACTATTGAAACCTTTAAATTTGATTTCAAAATTTTATGAGAACTTTATTTTTCTACCATTTTGCAACCTATATATCTTTGTTATTTACCACTTTTAAGTGGTTGTAACATTTTTAGATATATAATAAATTCAAACTTTACTCATATAACTAATATGCCTTTGAACAATGAGAGTTCATAGTATATTTAACTTCAATTTTAAATACTTTCACCATTATTTTGTAATCAATATATTTATATCTAGATCACCATATCAATGCAAGTCAAGAAACATGAATCCAAATAATCATTTTCATAAAATAATATAAACAATAATTATAGCATGAATTTTACTCATATTTCATGCAAAAAACTCGTGATGAACTTGCATTGGCTAAATCATTAATTGACTAATTCCAAAGTTTACAGCTTTCATAAACCAATATTATTATCTAAACCCATATGTTAATATAGTGTATAACTGGCCACATTCTTTCCATTGTCATTAAACTATTGAAAACCTCGAAAACATATACACTTTTCATTTTAACAACCTACAAAAGGTCATTTTTCGGGTACAATAAGCAAAAATATCTTCATATGCAAAAAGCAACAGTGCTTTTGTGTAATTATTAATTAACTCTTTGATGGCTATTTATGATTTTCACTTTGTGATTATTCACAATAAAATTTTATTTTGTAAAATTACTCCTAGTGTAATACACCTAGTTGGCAAAATACATGTCACATTGCCCATGTTTCTGATAATAATAATTATTTGGTTTATTAGTCACAAATTAATCCATGAAACACCATATCTTAATAATAATTATTCATAAACATCAATTTAATTTTAATTGGTTTTCATGAAAATTAAACATTAATCAAAATTTGAACCAACAATAAATTTTTTAAAAAATCAACCTTTGATTTATAAATAACTAACAAAGATAGAATTATACAAAATAGTTTGACTCAACTTATTATCTCAATTTTGGTGCTATGATTTAAAAATAAAACTAATCTTGTAGTTAAATCTTATTTTTTACATATATTCTCCACTTACATTTAATTTTTCATGGTATATACCTTTACCTATTTTCAATTATTTTCATAGAAACCATGAGACAATTTACTTGCTTTATGTATAACAAAGATATGACAATTAAACAATCGGCCATTCTATTAGAACCCAATTTAATTCATTACTTTATAACAAATGATAATTGTTTTGGTCACAGATAAATTCATATCTTTCTCTTTTATATTTTCAGGCTATTTTCCATCCCAATCTTTATGAACATTAATTTTTCAAATAGATATAATATAATTAATTAAACCCAATCGTAGAGCCAATTTCAGTATATGTATAATCTTATGCAATGTGATCAATATTTTGCATATTGTATCTTGACTTTACTCACTAATGAAATTAATTTTTAACATATTTATCTTATTCAATTAATTTTTTTACCATCAATTATGCAAAAAATAAAATACATTCTTCTAATGAATATCTTTTAAAAAATTAACACTTTGGTTCATGGAAACATTAATCCTTTAATACCTTGAGCCTCCTCTAATATTGATTTTCAAATTATGTCAATTTCTTTTCTTTGTACTTTCCTTATATAAAATATAAATTTCTCTTAATTACCTTTAAATTGTTAGAAAAAATAAATAAGAGAAGAGAAATAATAAAAAAAAATTAGTTTTGAGGCATAAAGAATGCTTTCTTAAAGACAATTATGCCTTTAGGATACAATAAAGTCTCAAACTCTTCGATTAAAAGTAATGAAAATGATTATGTTAAAAGATTTATTTATAATGAATTAATATATATATATATAAACTTCTATTCAAATGATTATAACATTCTGTACAATCATAACCTTTATGAATAATAATTTATTTATATTCAAATAATTATGATTATTTATCTTATGATAATTGTTTCTGTTCGAACATAATTATTTAAAATATGAATAAAATTAATTTAAAAATCAACTTTATTCATCAACAATTAAATCTTTCTATCTAATATGAGATATACCACATTCTAAACTACTAATACTTGTTGCGATTGATTGTTCCAATATGGAACTAGAATATGCTAGAATGAAGCTGCCGATATATCGAGCATAGCTTTCCAAGATTAAATAAACTTTGTGGGTGGTGCAATTGACGATCTACCATATCCAGCAGAATTTATAATTCAATGAGGAGACATGGACTCAAATACATGTCCATTATTGCTCAAGAACATAGATGCTCGAGTAACTTCAGTCTGGGATTTGCGATTTGAAGGAGAACCAGAATTTTGAGTCAAACAAAGACTAAAGTAAGTTGTATATGTATATATAAATATATATATGTATATATATATATATATATCCTAGTCTAGTATATTCCTCAGATAATTTCTTACATTTCATTACGCCTCGGAAGAAAGAAAAAGAAAAGAATAAAAGGATTGTCAGAGGAAAATAAATGCAGGTGAAACTTTATGATCTAAACGAAATAAACAACTGAAGCTTTCAGTTAGAACTCATAGAAGCTATGCCTTTTAGGTATGCAATCTTCATACTCCAATCTCTTTCCGCCACAGGAATAACCTTTCCTGAATCTGTTATTGAATTTTCTTGTTGCTTCGACCTCAACAGAAAAGACAGCAGAAACAGGTCTGTGATCAGAGAATCTTGACTCTCCACGAATATAAGTTAATTGTTCAATGCCAGCACCGTGCCATAGTATCCGATCACACCTGTAATGTTTCAAGTTTAAAAAGAATCAAAATTTCCATTTAGTAATGAATTAATTTGTTCATAATTCAGGCGAAAGTACCATGCAGGGGTTCGGCGTTTCTTCTTCGATTTGACAGTTTCTCCGGCGTATGAATCTGAATTATGCGAATACTTGTAAGTAGGAGCAAAGAATATCCGTCCCTCTTTGAACTCTTTGAATACTCTTCCGGCTTCTCTCTCCATATTTAACTGCACTCAAATAGAAAGGAACAGGTCAGCCAAGTGAAGACACACAAGAAATTTCCTTTTCAATTGACTATTTGATGCATGCTGCATGATCACTTGTCTTTCCATTGAGACTAAGAGACAAAATCCAGACATCATTTTCGACTCAGTTGGATATTTTGCATGGAAGCAACATCAAGAAAATGACTGGCCGACTTTTGACTTTCTAGTTTCTCAATTTATGGCAAATGCAAATTGTTATTTGACCTGTGCTTATTTTCATGACAAGGGTTGACATTTTTATCTCAATTGCTATACAAATTTTAGAACCCCTGTGTATACTATCTGTTATTATTTCCATTTTTTTTCTACTACAAGGTGATTTCAACAAGCCAGATGTCTAACTCAAAACAAAGTATGAATTCACAATAATTACTATCTTTCAAACAAATGTTAATATAAAGTTATCGTCATTGATTGTGGCCATGAATTATGAATATTGTAGCATTTTACTTTTTTTCTCACTACCCTGCAGAACAGTTCCAACAGGGATTTTCCTTTTTTTTTTTTGTCTTATTATTCTCTTGTGGAATGGAGGGGGTGGGGTGGGGGACCAGAATAGAACAAAGAGTACAGGCATATCCATGCAATCGAAATAAACATGAAAAATAGAAAGACTGAAACATGATTAGAATATTAAGAATTGGGGAAAAAGATTAATTATTTATCTAAAAAAAATCTTGTTTGTTTAATGCTTAGGAGTACCAGAAAGTGAGAAACCTGATCCTTCTCCAGAAGGGAGTCCCAATCATTATCCTTCAAAAGAATCCTCGTTTTCTCATAGCTCAGTGCTACTCGATAATTCAAGTCTCCAAGCCATATTACTCGGCTGCTATATTTAGTTTATAATAAAAATAATTGTTAAATAAAAGACTGAATAGAAATTAAAAAAAAAAAAACAGTTATATCAATGCAATCATACTCGTGCTCTATAATTTTCTCCGGGGCTTGAGAATTTGGAGTTCTGCAAATCTTGGGAAACTGTGTGCCCTTGAGGATCTCGGTAACATCAGCATTCCTCTTGAGCTCATCGCCTTCCTTCTCGCCAGAAGCCAAGTGACTGCAGACGAAGCAAAAGCTTGTTCGGTGCAAGGACATGCTTACTGCTATACATCCCTGCAATATTGATTATCCCACATTAATTAAACTTGATAGAATATTCTCAAGTATGGTATTAATTCTCAAATTATTATCACTCAGGTTTCTAGCACTCAATCAATATTGATCACAATATGCAAAGTTGTAAAACTTGGAGTGTTTGATTAGCTGGAAAATGAAAATGGCTAACTATACAAGGCCTTAATAGTTTCTCCAACATTGCATATGCATGATTTTTGGCAACTAAACAGGTGTTCGAAGGCTGATCTGAAATCTTGGAATGCATCATTATTTATGACAGAAAGTGACCCTCGGAGGTTTAGTTTAATTTATTAATTAGAAAATTATAAGACTGAGGAGATCAAACCCTGGAAGAAATAAAATTACCACCATTAATATGCTAACCTTGTTGCCAAGGCGTCCCATTATTCCTCTTCCTACAGAGGAAACTCTGAGATGAGCAATGTATGGCACTAAATCCTTTCGAGCCCATATCGAAAGGAAAATCCCAACCATCTGCTTACTGGCTATGAGGCGGTAACCCGTCTGGCTAGTTGAACAAGGTGGGGACATATCAGAAAGTGCAACCAATTCATCAACAGTACTATCACGACGCAAAGCGAGGGGACGAAGGTCTAGTTTACTTGTTAAATCTCTTAGCTTCTTTTGCCTTTGCTTCTCCCTATGTGTGGAATCAACAAGACAGTTGCAAATCTTGAGAAGGTTACTTTCAGCCCTGAAATTCTTACTCAGGACTTTGAGAGCAGGTTTGTGGAAAAGGTGAAGACTGGTTGGAGATTTTGAGTCCTTGTTGTTGGAGTGTTTCGAACCATGGCCAGAGTCAGGAGAAGAGTACATGGAATCGTGATATGGCTTGTTAAGCGCTTGGTTTATAAGGGCCAGCCATTTTGCAGCAGGTTCATTGTCTTCACTTACTAGAACATTTCCCGCATTGAGTGGAACAATTTCCTGAAACCTGGGAAATCAATATTCTGAGTAAAACAAGATCCAAAATCCTCTCATTGCAGAAGCCAGAAAATCTGCATGTAAGGATGTTATTACAGTGCCATGAAGCACTTTAATCAAATCAGGAAACAACGCATGACGAGTTAAAACTATTTCTTTCTTTTGATCTTGCTAAAGGTATCTCCAGGCTAGCTATCATTTGGTATTAAACAATGCAGAAATAGACCAGAAACTGAAAAGAACACAATTCTGAGTCATCATATTCATACCCACAAACATATATATCTGCAGAGCCCTCCAACAGCAAGAAATCTTCCAGGTTCATGTCACAGGTGGGTGTCTTCCCTCCCACGTTCCAAGTTGCAACAAATATCCTGCAAGCCCAACGATGGCGTTCCTGCTGTAAGATATAACATAGGACTGGTAAAAGCAAAGACAATTCTCTGAACGGATAAATCATAACAAGGAATCCTTACCGAAAATCCCGAATTTCAGTCACTGATGCCATGGAACACTCGAAATTCGAGAGATTCAGCCCTTCGATTAACCCTCTATTTTCTTCTCTTTCTGGGAGTAGATAAGAAATTAGCATCATGGTATGCATTATTAATTTTTTGCCCCTCCCAGTTCCAGATTCTAACACCAACAATTTGTCAATGACAAGGCCAACGCGTCAACATCAGAACTGAAACTTCCACTTATCCATTTATATTTTCTTAGACTTCAATTACAAATATCTGGCTTATAAATCAAAGTATTTCCTCGTTAGGTGAGCTACCAAAATTCTACAGCAGATAAGAAGAAATTAGCCTCCCGGCTGATCAGATACGTGGCTTACAACCTTACAAATAAAAGAAATGAAATTAAAGCTGTCACCCCCTATTATTATAACTACATAATATCAACATTTTCATAACCACATCCTGCATAGAACAAAGGTATGGGAAGGAAATTATGGCTTATTGCGCCTAATACACTCATCATACCCGAGAAACTTTTTCTTATGTAAGGAGAGGCTGCTTCCATAAATTCTTTCCTCCTAGATGCAATATTCTTCTCCAAATCTACGCCAAACATATCCCATAAAAAGACTTAAATAACTAAATGAAAAAAAACATTTAGGAAATGATTCAAATAGTCTAAGAAAGAGGGTAATTACCAGGAGAAACTCCATCACAATCTGGGGATACATGTTCATCATCCGAACCTCCTCTACCTCGTCTCTTGGAAGTAAAAATCTTCGAAATAGTGAACTTGATCCCAATAACAGTTGGAAAATTAAACAAATCAAATCAAATATTGTTCCTATGCATTGTAAAACCAAGAAATATAATAAAGGGCAATATCTATATATACCTTCTTTTTCTTGTCGTTCTTGATAGAGTTATCAGGAGAGGTAACAGTGGACGTGGTGGTGTGCTGGTGGCGGTGGAGGCGGTCCAAACATTGGCCTCGATCATCCCCAAGTTGGCTGTCATTCATTAGGTTACTTAGAGAAATTGTTGTAAGAAAATAACTATCAAAATTTCCAGTAGTCTAGGGTGCCAAATGATTAAAGATTCATGACCAAAACACTGCTGACAGGAAAGAAAAATTCTGGGTTTTGAATGTACTACGAATTTTTTTCTTCCAATTTTCTTAATCTTTGGAAAGAATAATGAAATCAATATTTTTTGTGATCTGTTTGATACTACGAGAAATTGGCGCCAACTCTTTCGGAGAGTTTAAGACTTAATATAAGAGGCTAAGCAAAGAAACCGTTGCATCGCAGTTCACAAAAATTAATTAATGTAATTTGCTTCATGGTTGGAAGCATTTCACTTATAGTTCTTTTTATTATAATTTTATAATTATTTAATTATAAAAAAATTATGTAAAAATTCCTCACTTATGAATATTAGATTCTATATAAAATTTTGATAATTTCACATAATTCCAAATTATAATTGATTAATTATAATATAATGATCATAAATGATATACTTCCATATGATTCACTACATGAAAATGAAGATTTAGTGACTGTTTTTTAGTGATGTTTTTAAATAAATGTCACAAAATTTTGTGTTTTTATAAGATTAGTGGCTTTTTTTTTTTATAAAACATCATTAAATTCTTATATAGCGGCATTTGAAATTAAAAACGCCATTAAAAAAATATTTTTGTGGTGTTTGTTAACCTAAACGCAGCTATATACTTTGACTTTTTTAAATTTTATGGTGTTTACATAAACACCACTAAAAACAAGATGTTTTTGGGGGTTATTAAAGCATTTCTAATTAAAAATATCTTGAATGGCTCCTTCAATTTTTATTAAAGGCATTTTCTAGGCAAAAATACATTGAATAATCCTCAAAAAATTGGAGGATATTATTGAAAGCTTTTTTAGCTATAAACGTCTTGAATAATCCCATTCAATTTTTTAAGGGATTATTCAAGATATTTTTTAGCCAAAAACACCTTGAATAATCCCCAAAAAAAATTGAAAGTGGATTATTGAAAGTGTTTTTGACTAAAAAAGTCTTAAATAATCACACTTTCCTGCTACTAAATTTCTCTTAAATTTTAAACATGCGAGACTCCCTTTCTGCTTTTTTTTCCTACTCATTTCTTTCATTTCTGCTCCTTTTGGGTTATTTTTTCTCATTTTTATCTAAGTTTCAGTCATTTTTATGGTCAATTTTCATCTTTTTTCCTTTTTTTTTTTGTAAATTTCAAATTAGCTTTCTTGTATTTTTGGTCAAATCTCTAACTTCATATCTGATTTGTTAGGTCAAATCCCTAAACTTTTTGTCGATTTGTTGCGTTTTTGTTACCATTCAAGCTCCATTGGTAAGTTGCATTTCAACATTGGTAATTTTCAATGTTTGCCTATTCTTTATCTTTTTTTACTAATTTATTTCGTTATTACAATTCTGAGTTTGGTTTTGTTTGGTTGGTAAGAAAAATTCAAAATAGAGCAAAAAGTGAAAGAAATAAGATTTTTCTCTAAAAAACTTGAAATTAAACATTGAATTTAGTTACAAAAATGAATGAAATTTTAGGTTTAGTTTTTTTTTAATAGAATATTTTTGAAATTACTAAAAAATTGTTACTTGTTAACATGAATTTGTTGATTCATTTAAGATATCCTTAGGAAATCAATCTAAAATAGTCTACTATGTTTTTTTTATCTCATCTTGGTATTTGTTTTGCTTGTTTTTTCAGATTATGGTGCTTGATGAAACGATTTAATCTTGCTTGAAAGAATTCGTTATGCATGAAAACTATTAACAACAGAGGATAGAGAACAAAAAAAGACATCTATAGTCATTTGTGAATACTGCAAAGTAAAGTATTTGCTACATACTTAATCTTCTTTTGTTACATTGTAGGTTTCTAGGTATATAAATATTTGATTAAAATTTGTATAATTTTTTTATTAATGTTATCTCTGTTCCAATTTTACATTGTTTAAAAAACATGATATCAATGCATGACACGTAATAGTTTTTTTTTTTTTTTTGCATTGTAATAGGTTATTTCTTATATCATCTTGTTATTGTTTTTGACTTAATACTTAGTATAATTAAGTATGTTACAGTTCGTTTCATCTAATTTAATTATATAATTTTCGTATGATAATGTAGCAAGTACTAAATAGATAAGAATTGGATGCAAAAATCAAAATTAAGTCAGTAGTTTCTTAAGTACACTAATGAACAATGTGAGAAAAATCTTTTATCACATGATAATGTTCCAAATCTATGCAGTCATCAATTTCATATATTTTAGATTTTGTTAATGTACTAAAATAATTTGAATGTCATTGCATGTATTAAACTTTGTGTTCCATCCATATTGGAACAAATTATGTATTTATATTATTCATTTTATGAATTTAAGTTCATTTTTATTTATTTTAATATTTTTTTATTTAATGATAATAATCAATATTAAAAGAAAATTTTTAAAAAAGTAAATTTCTTAATTTGACGGCGTTTGTGCCTAAAAATGCCCTAAACACTAAAATATAGTGACGCTTTCTACTATAAATATTGCTAAATTTAGTGACATTTTCTACTATGAACGTTGCTAAATTTAGAGGTATTTTATGATAAAAACGCCACTTAGTGGCATTTTTCTAAAAACGTTGTTATTTTTTTTATGTAGGTATAGCCAACACTTTTAGTGCCATTTTTGGTAAATGCCGCTAATATTTTAACGGCGTTTATAAACGTTGCTAAACATGAAAAAAAACACCACTAAAAACCTAATCCCCTATAGTGATTAATTAATGCACTCTATTTCTACGTACTTTACATTACATCACCTTCATTTTTATCCATTCGATTAATTTGCAATGCTCTTCTTATGAAAACATAAAAAAAAAAATGCCTCTTTACTATATTTTCATACTTTATAAATTAAATGAAACTTGATTTGATCATCATAAACTCTCTTTAATAAACAATTTTTTATACACTGTCATTATTATTTTTTTTTTAAGATTTTGAATGATTTAGCAAAATCCAAGAAAAAAACTGTAGAAGAGTTTTTTTATTGAGATGAGGAAGTGTTTGCAAACAAGTAGAACATGATATGCTAGGAGATGGTGGAGAGGAAGATTGGAATAGATCCTAAATTATTGATTGTAGCGACAAATGATGGTAGGTGGTAAAGTAAGGTTGAGTAGAGAAAAGAATGGGACTGAGAAAAGGATTTAAAGAAAAAGAATTAGAAAAAGAATAAAATAAATTTGCCAAAAGTCTCCAAAAATCTCCCAATGAACTATGAAAACTTCAATTTATAGGTTTCAAGAATAAAAGTTACATGTGGAGTATTGAATAGTAATAATAGTGAAATTGACAATTATAAAAAATGTTAAATATGAATAATAATGAATAAGAGGTGAATTGACTACTACAAAAGGTGTTAATGTATTGGTTAATGAGAGTTTAATTAGTTTTGGTGATAGATATAATAAACATAAAAGTTTACTATCTGTCCTGAGAGAAAATGAATAGCACTCATATTTTAGGGAAATGTTAATAGCAAACTTCTTAACTATATATTTGATCTACCAAGACAAATTCTCGAAAACATCCCAATGGTGGAATTAACTCAAGAACCCTATCATATTTTATGATTATTTTCACTTCTTCTTTTGGTGAAGTAACATTTAATGACAAGTTTTTTATGGAATAATTCTTAGTGACACAACTTTTGGTGAAACAACTTTTTGTGAAAAAATTTTCAGTAAAGGTGTTGGTATTATTTATTGAGAAAGTTATTCTAAGAACAACTATTCCATGAAGATATTGTTCTGTGAAAGAATTGCTCCTTAAATAATTATTCCGTGAATGAGTTATTCTTTAAATAGTTATTCTGTGAATAGTTATTCTATGGAAGAATTGTTCCATGAATAACTGTTTAATAAATTAACTTTTACTAAAATAACCTTATCATTTATTCTAAATTATCTTTAACATTTTTAGAGAAATTTATAAAAATAAAATATTAGTAACCAAAATTAAGTATTTACAAAAACTAATGTAAAATAGAACGAATGTCCTACAACAACACTAAGTAAAGTATGAATATGAATAAAATGGAGTGTTAATCTTTCTAAAATGAAAAAAAAAAAAAAAAACCATTTTTGACAAAGAAATTATCACATTTTATAAAAGACTGAGGGTTCATTTATGAGAATTATGATTTTGGAGAATCTTGGATTCTTGCAACTTCTGAGAGTTCGAAATTGTCCATTTTTCACCTTAAATAGTACTTGCTTAAGTAACAGATTATCTAATTAAATAAATCCAATGACATTTACCTTGAATGTATGTACTTTCCACCGTTTATGTGCACATAAGTGGGTGATAAAAACTGTTAATAGGATTTCATAAAATAGGATTATAGTTGTTTAAAGTTGACTTGGGTTTAATCCTAACAACCTAAATTAACAAAAAAAGAAAAGAAAAGAAAGAGGCTACTGTGCATGGCATCTACACTAAAAATTCCCTTCCCTTTCCAGATTCAAAAAATAGTGTACATTCTTTCATTGAACTGCCAAGCTGTTATAATGGGAACAGATTGCCTCTTGGTCTCTTCACTGAAAACCTGACTCCATTCTTCTGCCTGATAGTTTTCCTTGGCATTATCTTAGGCCCCTGCAAAACATTCAATGAATTAAGGCATTTCTTTCTTGCAGGAAATTTGACAACCCAAAAAGGGTTTAATGTCGTGAATGAATGACCTTAAATTATAGTGAAATTTAAATATAGTATTTAAATTTTAAAAATTTTTAATATGATATTTAAATTATAAATTTATTATTTAATGTGATATTTAAAAAATTATTTTTTTATTATGTATCATTATTTAAAGTTAATTACATTAAAAAATAAATATTATATTAATTAATATATTCATCATTTAAGTATAAAATTAAAAACTTTTAAAATTTAGTTCCCACATTCATGACATTAACAAAAAACAAAAAATCAAAACAAGGCATATGTACTACTTGGAAATTCAAAAAAGTT